CCCCCCCCCCCCCCCCATTCCAAAGTGGCATTGATCAGATCACCATCATTGTCCTTATACCTCAGATCTGGACCATGTCTTGAATACTATAGTAATACCATTCTCCACTGATTGATGCAAGTTGCTTTTTGATTCCGGGCCCCCCAGAATCATATAATTGAATGTATTCAAGGGCCGCTGAGCCCCCTGAGTCTGCCCCCTCCCCCCCGGATGCACTGTCCAGAAGGCCGGAGCCGCCGGTGTCGCGTGAATCCGCGGACTCACCGCCTATTAATAGCACAGAACTGGAAGCTGAGGAAGATGGAGCAGCTGTGACACCAGCAGGGGCTAATCCTGACCCCTCCCCAACCGTCATGCCCTCCTCTCTGGCCCCCGGCAGAACCCCGACTGTCTCCGGGCACGGCCGCGTAAAGCTCCTCGCTCCTTAGCTCTCTGTGTCCCATGATATCTGATGCCCACAAAATTTTTCACCGAACGATGTGCTGTCCCCTCTGTCCCTGGTGCTTGTGCCCATCTCGCTGCTTTTCTCTCCTTTTTCTTTTCATATTTCTTCATCTCTTGTGATGTCGTTCAGTGCCGGTACCGATTTTTACTCCAGAATTTCTGGACCAAATGCTTCTAACCCATTTTAACACGCAAGTAAATTTGAGCCCTAGGCCAGTCAGCGATTAGCTGCCATTCACCTGGTCCATGTCACTTTGGAAATGCCAGGGGGGGAGAATAAAAAATTGAGTGCCATTTTCCAATAGTGGCATCATGGAATGTTGGTCCTGTGCTTGGCTTTTTAATTGTTGCTGCGTTGGGGATTTTGTTTACTTTGCACTATTTGACTTTACGTGGTCATTTGCAGAAACGTGCGGAGCCATTTATGTTTGTGCACGTTGGTGATTTCGCAGCCAGGTACCATGCTGGGGATGCGCTCCGATATCCTAAACACGCTACTGCCTGAATTTCTGTGGCCCCATCCCTGATCCTGCATGCTTATTCCCAAAGATGGACTTAGTCAGATTTACACACTTTGCAGCAGTTTTTATCATTTTAATCTGGCATTCACAATATTCTGCGGGGAGGACGCCAAGAATGTGTGAAATCAGATGGAGGAAGATATTTATTACATTACAGCACCTCTTGCTTTACAGGCATAGCCTGTTGGATCAAAGGAGAACCTGCTTGTATCCACTAAGAACAGTTTTTCAGGCACTACTGGCTTTACGCCTTTAAGAACACTTTGGCTCTGGCCAGCAGATGCGAGATACCGCCATTAATCATGGAAGTTGTCTGCAGAGAGCTCGGGTACCTCTGGTCAGAGCCGCGTGACACATGAGGTTCTGGGACGGACCAGGACTTTATTTCGGGGCTTTCTGTCTCAACCTGGTCCCTGGGGACCACCCCAGGCATTGGACAGTTCAGATTTGAGCGGGAAGGAAAGATGTGAACCGTTTGGGGACTGAAAACTGAAACTTAAAATAACGTAAAAGCTAAATTTAAAAAATCAAATCTATAACAACACTGGTTTAAGTTCCAGATGTTATTTTACTTACAAGAACTTATTCACTTTGTATCCCAGTGCTTTTGGCATGATGGCCTGGTCACAAATCCTGGCTCTGTGAAGCTCTCTATCATTTTAATCATGACTGGGTCACAGACGTGCATGTTCAGCCATATGGCCGTTTCCAGTGCTGCCCTTTTGTGGCGTCTAGCGGTTAAGTGTCTAGCCTGTGACCAGTGTTCCTCTTTGCCAGTGCACATTTGCCCATGTTTGCCAGATACTATCTTTCGTTTTCCAATTTTTTTGACTGTTGCACCTGCAATTCAGAAGATTATTGGCTTTGATGCTGTTTCGAAAACTCTCACAAAGTGCTGATTGTGTGTGACGTTGGCATTCAGCCTCATGTGACTCCGCTTTGTAACTGCTCTTTGTAATTGTAGAACTTTTAAAATGTCTTAATTTTAAAAAAAATAGTATTTCTGTGGTGTTGCCTGTCCCCAGTGTACGTTTGTATATAGACAATTCCCTTAACTGTGTTATTCCATCAACTGAGGCTTCTGTAAGAATTCTTACAGGATTTCTTGCTCAGTGTGTTAATTTCAGGTTTCAGCCTATTAATGGTGATCTTGGTGACATGCGACCCTGCATACAGTCACATCCTGTGTATCGCCCATCCCTAATAACATCTGGGTTAGGTAGGCTGTCCCCCTACCCTCGCACCCTGTGCATTCTGGGATGGGATTCAGGGTCTCTGGGGAAAAAACAGCATGGATGGATGATTCTGCTGTGCATGTTTTAGTCCAAAGGGTGACTTCAGTGTGGATGAGTGAAACTTCCCCCATGTTCATTTCTCTGTGCGATGTGGCTCTTGAACAGGGGTGGCCAATCTTATCCGCAAAGGGCCGGTGTGTATGCAGGTAAGTTTTTTGGATAACCTTTAGGTCAGCTGTTCAAACCCAGGTGTGAGGACTCTTCAGCCAATTAGCCTCTAATTAGTAATCTAATCAGGGAGTTGCAGTGAAAACACGCATACACAACGGACCATTCTGGATAAGATTCCTCACCCCTGCTCTAGAATGGTATTTCCCAATTCGGTCCCCGGGAACCAACAGTCGGTCCGTGTTTTTGTTCCCTCCAAGCTCCAACCAGATCATACCATGACATTTGCCCTTTTCCCCGTAGACACTGGGGGTAAGAGGAAGATGTAAGAGTTCTCCGTAAAGATTTCCTATGTTATTAACACCTTTGGTACCAAAAATAAGTCTTTTCTGCAGGCAGCTCCCACTGGCAGCTGTCGGCCCTATGGGGGGATGGGACTGGACCATTCCGCACTGGGGGGTGTTGGCAAAGGCAACCGAGTCGAGCTTCTAGGAGGGGGGAAGACAAGCTGGCAGCCGGGAGACCTCACGCTGGCGGTGTGTGCTGCTAATCCTCACTGTGCTTTCTTTGACAGGCTGGTGTCAAGGGGACGTTGGGGCGGCTCGTAGGAATATTTGAGGTGAGGTTTTTGTTTTTTTCCCCCCCCCCCCGTGGAGCCTTGAACACACCTTGCTGATTCTACATCTCGATTATCTGTTGACTGCCCTTGTAGTGTCTCTTTTAATGTTATTTTTTTGCCACGATGTTCCCTCACACTGTCCTCAGGAATACGCCGTAACCCCTCTTACGTTTGACTTTCTTCAGAACCAAGACAGGAAGCACAGGACGTACGTCTACGTCCTCATCGTCACAGAGGTCCTGGAGGACTGGGAGGACTCTGTGAACATCGGTAGGTCCGCTTTGACCGGCACGTGGCGGAAAGACATCCTGCCTTAACGTCTCGTTCTGATCCCCAGGTTTTTTTTCCAATGGTGGCTGTTCTCACAAAAACATTGTTTAACAAAAAAAAAATCCCACCCTACGGCCACACAGCGTGGTGTTGGAGGATACGAGGTCTTTTTGATCAGCTAATTCAGCATAATCCATGCCTGAAATGCCAGGGATCCATGGCACAAGATTACATTCAGCTGAGGAAATTAGTTTGAGTTTCGATTGCACAGTGACAAAGTTGATTGCAAAGTACAATGAGTCGTGACTACAACAGGACCTGCTCTACTTTTCCTTGATCTGAAATGCTGTGTTTTCTTAAGCTTATCACATTTTCCAGTTGTATAATATGCCGCTTACTAGTGATGGACAAAATGACACTTCATGAACCATTTGCTGCATTTTCTGACGCCACTAGATGGTGCTGTCCGTTTAGAAAATGGGCACATAGCATCTTCAGAACAAGCCAAGAGCGCCATTCAGTGCGGTCAGAAAATACATCAAGTGGTTCTTGAAGCGTCATTTTTTTCCGCTTACAACATCTCCCATGAACCGACCCGCTCTGCCCCTCTCTGCTCTTCTGCCTCTGATCTGCCTCTCTGGCACGCCATTGCCTCTCCGCAGGGAGGAAGAGGGAGTGGTTTAAGACGGAGGAGGCGGGTGAGCTGCTGCGCTGCCACAAGCCCGTGCAGGCGTCCTACTTCGAGGCACTGCGGCAGGGCTGCCTATCCAGCAATGGGACCCCCATACTGGCCACGATATCCGGGGAGCTGCCGGCCACCTACAGCCTCAGCCAGAGCTCCGTCTCGGGCATCAGATAACTACACCGGGGCGGCACCCGCGCCCCGGGGCCCGGGACCCAGCCGCGTCTGCTCGCCCCCTCCTCCTCCCACCCCCCCCCACCCCCGGCCCCTCCCTTCCGCCGTCTGTCTCTCCAGCCCTTTTTTTGTGCCAGACTCTGGCATGAAAACCTGACTCGGTTGGAGTGAACATCTTACACTTTGTAAAGTAGTTTTTTTTCTTCTTCTTCTTCTTCCCTGCTCCCTCCATTTTATCAGTGGTTTGCATGACCCCTCCCTTCCCTCCCCCAGTTATATGAAGTTTATGGAATGCAAGAACTACTTTTTGCCGTTGTGATGTAAAGGATGTACTTTGTGCTAATTCTTAAAGGCCTCCGGTGGTCTTTTAATGTCCTCTTTGTTTCTGTTCCTCCTTTGTGTGTGTGTGTGTACGTGCGAGCCTGTGTGTGTGCGTGCGAGCGTATGTGTGTGTGCGTGTGTTAGTCTGTATGTATACGCCCCTCCCCTTCCATATTGGAGATGCCACCCTCCTGTCTCAACAGACAGGTCTGTGTGAGTCTGGCTTGCTGTGCATTGTGGGATATCGTCATTGTTGGTTGGGGATGCAGGGAGGGGTGAATTGTACTGGGTTGGGTGGGGGTGGGGGGGTAGGTGTTGATGGGTGAAGTTCTTTGTAAAATGTTTAGTTAAAAAAAGAGCCAAACTCCAATTTTCTAACTGGAATCAGGACACAACATGTTTGTCAGTTAATGCCCTCAGTTCTGAACCGACCCGAATGCCAGTGACGAATCCCGACCAGACAAGGCACGGGAATCCCAGTGTACGGTAAAGAGAGAGAACGAAATGGTCAAAGGGTTAATTGGCTGTAACCATCTAGATTGGAGACCAGGGAACTGGGATCAATTCCCAGACTGGCTGGACTCCTGGCACTTTTGTTGGAATGGAGCCCGAAGACCTTGTAGGAAGTTCGCTCACCTTCGGAATCGCTGCCATTGGTACCTTTCCTGAAAGGATGAAGTTACTTTGTCCGGCACGTTTAATTCTTCCTGTTGCAGTGAGCAGTCACTGCGCGGATGGGCTCTGTCACCAGAAGGGCTTCCGCTGGTCCCAGGAGTCACAAACACATTCGGGGAAGGTGGGGGGGCGGGGGGGGGTTTGACCGTCACCAGTTCCTGGACTATAAACGTGGACTGTGAAGTTCCCCATCAGCCAGAAGGCCGTTAAAATTCATGAACAGCAGATGTTTACACTGTATCCATACCGTTTGCCTACCTTCAAGTGAACACTGGACTGGATATTTTTTAAGACTACGGTATATTTTGAAAAGCACTTTTGAATTAGGATTTTTTTGTTTCCTTGAGCTTTTCATGAATATTAATTCTACACATTCTGAATCTGCTTGACATTTAAATTAAACATTTCTAGTGAGACTTGTAGGACTTAAGTCTTGTACGAGTAAGAATATTTTTAACATATTAATGTAGTATTGAGTTTTTTTTTTCTGTTCATAAGCATCCGGCAGTTTTTTTTTTGCTTTCTCAGTCACAGTGGATGTGCCCGACAGTTGGCTATATGCTGAATACTGTGAAAATGGAGCCCGACCCATCCAAAGAGCTTTTGGCTGTTCTGCACGGGCCAATGGTGAGCCCACACATGGTGCCGGGATCTGACACCACAACGCCACGTGTGATTGGCACGCCTGGGGGGCGGCCCGGTGCAAGGCTGTGTGACGGATGACTTTGGGAGTGACGTATCCATCACTTTCCACGTTTCCTCATGTTCCACGACCTTGCGCCCTAACCCCACTGAATCCCTTCCGTAATGGAGGCCCCCTCACTTTCCACCCGTCTTCCAGTTCAGTGGAATCCCTGTTACTCTTTCAGGTGACCTACTGTGTTAATCTCTGCTGAATCCCCCCTCCCCATGTCTGGTCACCTGTACCCGCCGCAGAACGGGCTTCCACGGCTAGCCACAGCCGCCCCCACTCCCTGCCCGCCATTGGCAGAGGGGTAGGCATTCTCACCTGCCCAGCGATGCCAAGGTCATGGTCGGGATACGCAGATGCCTTGGCCAAACCTAGAAACCGCCCAGAGCAGAGTATGACACCGGGTCCTCTTCAGCTTTGGCTCCATGTTGGCTGACAGTTTACTTACCAGTATTTAACTAAAATCCTCCAAAGTACAACAGGGGGAATGTCTAAGGTGGCCCATTCCGCGGTCAGTCTTTGCTATCTGTCATGTTCGAACTATATGCGCTATGGCTGCATGGAATTAGTGATTGAATCTCTGCTGGTGGGAGTCGTGGCAGGATGGTATAATGGATAAGAAGGCAAAGGTGTCTGAGGTGGAAGGACAGTGACTTACAATGCACAGGAGGAGAGGCAGTGTAGGAAAAGGAGGCTTCCGCAATTCCTGTCCCGTTGATCGTAGTTGATTTGTGTTTTTTATTTTTATTTTTTTTTGTGTCGGGGGTGTGGTGACTCATTTTTATATTTCGAAGTTGGCAGGAAACGGTCAAGGTGAAAAGCAAAAAAGCTGCGACGGATCGTGAAGCTGGAAATGCTTGTAGTGTTTCTGGAAAGCTCTCTGTCACGGCGGTGGTGACTGAGTTTGGTCCATGCCTTGTCTAAAGAGGAGAACGCTTCGTCGGTGTGGGGGTGAGGGGCCGTCTTGCTGCCCCTGGTGGTGTGCAGGCGGGTGGACGGGGGGGGGGGGGCGTTTTGCTGACTGTCACACCTCTCTGCCGGAAGGGGGGCCCAGCGACTTCGGCCTTGTTCTTCATACCCGATTTGTGTTGTCTGGTGAGTTTCACTACTATGCCTAATTATTGCAGATTTTCATTTTCATTTCATTTTCTTTCCTTTGGGGGTGGGAGCGGTCCTCTTTCCCCCTTTTGGAGATTCTTATATTATTTTTATTGTTTTTTTTGTTTGTTTTTTTGTTCCCTACCTTCACATAGGGCTAAATAATGCTGCAGTCCAGAGTTATCTGACTAGTCACTGATGTCACTGGGTGTGTGTGCATGTAAAAGTATAAAGTAAAATGATTTTTAAGTGGTTTGGACTCTTGAACACCCACAACCTGTGAAAAATAGGTATGCAGTTTCTGGCTACAGCAGTTCTGTAACCTCTCTTCTCTACGTTGTTAAATACTGAAACCCCACCAGGTTGAATTTCTGTAGGTGATAAAAAAAAAAAGAGGGGGGGTGTGACTGTTTGTATTTGTTTACTAAAATATCCACCTATTCATGCAGCTTTGTGTGCTGAATGTTCTGCATGTTGCCAGAATCTTGTGTCAAATCATAAACATGAATGTTTATTTTTTCTGTTCTGAATGCACGCGCAGTCCAGACGATATTTTCTTTGATTTTTGAAATGGTGTGCAAGCGCTCACATAAAATTGCTGACAGTAGTTTTTTTTTTTTTTTTTTTAGGATAATTTTCTAGCACTTTACATGCATGCAAGTCAGAGCAGGGGAAGCCGCTTAGTTTGTAATCTATCTGATGGCTGTACGGCAGGGCCCCCCAACTTCAGTCCTGGGGGGCCAGTCTGCAGATTTCCCTGCACAGACGCATCTTAATCGGCTAATTACCAGGTGTAGTAGGTGTGTTTGAACAGGGAGATCTGCAAACGACATTGGATTCCAGCTCTCCAGGACCAGATTTGGGGGTACCTGCTGTAGAGCGTGAACCTGCAATTAATTTTGTTTCGTCACCTCAACTAATGTTAAGATCTTGAATGTAAAAAAAAAAAAAAAAAAATTAGCACCTCTCGCATCGCGTTGAGAGCCAAATGTTTTTCTTGGAAGACCAATACTAAGTTTTTTTTTCTTCTTCTTATTGCCAACAATGAGTTTCTTCTTATTTTTTTAATTTTTTTTTCTTTTTTACACAAAGCCAGTTATGGCAACACACACGCCGCTGAATGTGAGAGACAGCTTGGTGGGCCGTGGAGGATCCACCTGCGTTCCCCGCCAAAGCTGAGTCATGCTCTGAGCCATCGGGCACATAGAAAAAGACGATCGTCCGTCCTGAGCAGGTTTATACTCCCGGCTGGTGGCCTGCCTAGCGATGCCCTTTTACTGGTCTCTCTATCTGTCACTGGAGTGGTTTCATTGGGAATCATGGAATAAACCAGTTTTGAGAAGATTGTAATATAATGTGCCAACAAATAAACGCCAGTATTTCACAGCCGCCGCTCTGGGGCCCCGTCCTTTCTCACGTCTCGCCTGTGTTTCCCGACATCCTGTTTAAATGCTTGCCTTCTATCTAAACTTCCTGGTGCTCTGGGTCGGTTGCTTGCACTGCGGTAGCGGCTGCAGGTTTCACCATAAACGGCTCAAGTCAAGACAGATACCCAGGGTGAGCGCGATCAAGATGTTCACTGGATATGAACTGGTGAAGAAGTCTGCTGGGTTTGAGACGATGCATTTGGGTATTGAAGTTGGCATCATCATTTAATTTAATTTCCCAAGCATGAAGCGGAATACTTATTTCCCTTATGAACCAACTGTAGACAGCAGTAGGGGTTGATGTCATGTACTCATCCCATTTTGATTAACTACACCTGATGTTAATTATAAAGCCCTTGATTACCTGGCTCCTGTGTGCACTGGGGGAGGGGCGGCTGAGGATTCGGTCGCCATGGCTACAGTTGAAGTTCACCGAAGGCCCTGATTGAGTGTGTTGTAATACACGTGACACATGAACATGGAGGTAAATTTTATTGGCCAAATTCAGACTGTAGAAAACAGCCACTTCTGTGATTGAACTGGATAGTCTGCCAATCACAATCTGACCCAAAGGGAATAACCAATAGAAATTTAGTTACTTATGATTGACATGCCCAGTACCACACCCACCGTGGGTTTCAGGATCTTCTGCAATAATGTTGGGAAACATGATCAATACACTTCCATATCAAGCCATATAAAAGTAGAAAGTGGATTTTGGTGGTAGGATCGCTCCTTACCTAAACTCTTACTGAACAATCATGACTTCTGGAATAAGTTAACCCAGCTAAGAAACCATGCTTGGTGGAACAACCCCTCATTAATACGAACGTTGATCCTCCGAACAGCCAATCATCCGGTTGCAACTA